ACTATGATTTACTTGAATCTAGAAAGCATATGGCTATTACTTGTAATGGAAAGGACTTCTTTATCCCTATAATTCCATCAAAAAATGAATACAAAAAAGTAAACTCGCCAGTATTGGAAGCATTATATAATTAGTCAAGTATTTCAGAAAAAAAGAATATTTAGAATACAATTATTTTTTTACGCCCTGCTAACTTCCAGAAATTCATTTACAAGATGGGGTGCATCTTCTTTGAATCTATTTGCTGGTTCCCAAGTTGATTCATTTTCAGGATATCGGCACCATTTAACAAGGTATTGTTTTTTACCTTTATAAGTTCTTTGCTTAAGAATTTTTTCAGGAATAAATTTATCTTGTTTTCCATGAATTACTGAATCTGGAGGCGGGTTTTCATTATCTGGAACTACTTGAAGTTGCTTTCTAGTATATGCACAACGAGATACACCTAATCTTCCATGAGGACCATTTACAAGGTATGTTGGAGGTTGTTCTGGGCTTAGCATAAGTTTTTTTATTACTCGAATTTCTGGATCCCACCTAATATCACCTGTGTGGAATTTACCATGTAATTTTTTACCAAGTACTGATTTAGGCTCAAACAACATTACTCTGACTCGTGTTCCTTCTTGTAGCAATTCATCTTTATCAGTAATTCTAGGAAGGCCTTCTGGAATAGGAGGAGGATTTCGTTTCCATTTCTCTCTAAGAGCTTCTATTAGAATAGGATAATCTTCAGACCATTCCACAGAAGTTATACCGGTTTTCATTTCTTGTGCGGTCATTCGATTCAATATAGGCCTCTGGATTTCTTGATTAGTTTTTTCAACAAAGCATTGCTGTCTATGTTTTCCAGGAAATCCAAATTTCATTAGCACCTTAACCTCTTTTCTGAAATAATTTCGGACTAAAGAATTATCAAATTCCTTTCCAGTATCGGTATTTAATCTGAAAGTAGGAAATTTTACATGACCTCATTGATAGATCCTTTTGAATGAATCTAGAACTGTTTCAGCATCTTTACTTTTGAGCGGATTTCCATCCAAATCCTGAGTTGAAACATCAACAACTATATGGGAATACCGGTATCCTTTTGGATCCATTGGTAATTCAAGTAAATCTGAATCCTGTACTGCATTGGCCTTCCAGACAATTACTTTTGGTTGTTCCTATTTTTTTTCTTTTTTAGGTCTAATGTGGAGATTGAAATGTTCTTCATTTTTTAGCAGTTTAGATGGTACCCCAGATAATGAATAGTATTTATAATAACAATCTACTGGTGTTGACATTTTGAAATCCTATTTGAATGTATGTATCTTAAGTTCAAAAAGATGGTTCAAACATATTGTGTAAAGTGCCGAGCTAAAACAAATTCAGCATCTGAGAAATTGGAAACTACAGGAAATGGACAAAATCGGTTTATTGGTAAATGTGTTGTTTGTGGTACCAATAAACATACCTTTGTATCTAAGGATGGATCGATTAAATTAAAGACTCCTGCTGAAGAAGCTATTGCCAGAGAAAAAAAGGAAAAAGCTAAAGAACGAAAAAAAGCATTGCAACTTGCTAAGAAGATTATAAATAATCAAAAATCTTAGTATCTGGTTATAATTCAATTATTTTAATTAAAATATGCATTTATCATAAATGCAGTTAATTTCATCTGGATTTACAATATAATTATACCTCACTAGGAAATATTCAAAGTTAATTAAATCCCTATGAACATAGGATTTATAATCATCCAGCTTTGCATGCTTGAACTCCAACCTTCGAGCAAGTGCATATTTATCTATATTCCCTGGATCTGCATAAAATAACTCATTGGCTTCTAAATAATTCTTTTCTGCAACAGCGCATTTTGCTTTTATAGCTTTATATTGGACTTTCAATTGATTTCTTATAATGAATAATTCTGTTCTAAGATTGATATTAAAGGCAAGCCGGAATTTTGTAACTTTGATTAAGGATTGGGTGCATTGAAGCCTTAAATCCGAATGCATTTCTCCATAAATTCTAAATGTACTTAAAAACCACTTCAGTGTTTTATATATAATTTCAGTGCGGTTTTGATAAAGTTTATGCCTGGCCTCTAGTCTCCATAATTTGTTAACATAGGTTAATCTAACTAAGGATGTAGTAGGTAAATAGCTGAATATATTTTCTAGAATTTCAGGTGTACCTAATATACTACTCATTTTTTGATAATAATACTTTGTACCTGGATTTGTTTAATTCTTTGGTTAGTTATTCGGATAAAATTTTTTATGTAATACCTATTATGCAGATTAATTCAATTTGATTTTTGCACGGGATATTTTTTTATGTAATATGTATAACATGGGTTAATTCAATTTGTTTTTTTACACATAAAGTATAGAGAAAATTGGTCCAAATTGATCTAACAATTCGTTTTTTATACATAAAGTATAGAGAAAATTGGTCCAAACTGGAAACCCAATTTGTTTTTTACACATAAAGTATAGAGAAAATTGGTCCAAATTGATCTAACCGGTCTGAAAGGGGTCTTTGGACCAGCTTAGTATCTGATTTAGCCTTCTAGCTATGGAAATAATGCTTTCCTGCTATAATTCTTGGATTGGTCCAAAGGTCTTAGGAAATTCTGGCAAAAATTATATATAGGGAGCATAGTTTTCTCTAGAAATTGATATTCATCCTTGGACCATTGGACCACTTTTTGATTTTATCTATTTTGATGTTTTTTGATTATTTGGAAAGTAAATTGATTAGTATTTATGTATTTTTTGGTCTTAAGACTGGTCTTAGTTTGGTATTAAGAGATATTATATATATTAGACCATTTTTAGTATTGGATTTTTTAACTTTTTTTAGCATTTGAGCCAATGCAGTGGCGATATCTCAATGAGAGAAATCAATCCGGAGGGAGATACATCCTCATCCAGCGACGACATTGTCATTAATATACTCTATGAATTTGTGTTTTTTGTTAATAGTTTGTGCTAAATCTATATCATTATTACATTCTACTACACAACTGTCATCATCATTATCATTATACTCTATGAATTCGCATTTTTTGTTAATAGTTTGTGCTAAATTTATACCATCATTAGATAAATTTGAGTCTATTATAACTTTTGCTTTTGCTTTTTTAATGTATAATATTGGGAAATTAAGTGTGGTTTGAATTTTATTATTCTCCAATTAATTTTAATTTTTGTGCATGTGTGTAGCCCTTAAAAATTTTACTAATTGATTTGCCCAAAACATAATAGCGACCTTAAAAAAAATTTTATATCAATTTTACCCATTCTTCATTGGACATAAAAATTTTTTACCCTTAAAAGTCTTGGACCTTTTAATGTATCCATAGTAATTTTACCCTATCAATAACGGTGACATTTTTCACTTTTCTATATGTTTTTTACCCTTGGTTTGCCTGGGACCTCAATTAGAAGTTTCCGGGGTCCTGCTCTCTGTATGAGTAGAACAGTAATTATTTCGGGTTTAGCCATGGGGGCTTGTACAGGCACGAAACTTTGAGGTCTGCACGGGTTTTTTCTTTTGAGATGCTCGCGAAGCTTTTGAGGTGTTGCACATGTATAGCCACAGCACTCAAAAGTTCTATTTTTTTTTACCATGTTGGTCTAACCATTTCGTTTTATTTAACTTATACAAAAAAATCTTTTCTTTAAATAATTATTTCGGTATTTCAAAAATGCATGGTGATTATACTTGCCCCTATCTCCATAATTCCGGTGCCATTTGCGGAATATCTTGTATGCGTCCTGAAGGGTGCCGTTTTCATTATAAACCCAAGAAACGTTTTCCATGCTCCGAGTGCGGTAAGACTATTGTCTCAGTTTCTGACCGTTTCCCTTTACATATCCGAGCGTTTTGTGTTGTTCAATACTATCATAGAGCGCGTGACAAAGCTACTATCACGAAATTTTTAATTTATCAGGATCTTAATCTGAGCCGTTTTTAACCTAGGACAATTTTTTCAGGGAAATGCTTTAGAGCCTGTTTCTGATATGCAAAAAAGTTATTGACTAGAATTTTTCAGTTAGATTCAGGTGTATATCAGGAACTTGATCTGAGCCGTTTTTATCAAAGGACAATTTTTTTCTGGAAATGCTTTAGAGCCTGTTTCTGATATGTAAAAAAAAGATATCGGTTGAAATTTTTCGGTTAGATTTTTTATAATTGTTATGCTATTTGAGCTTTATACATCGGGCTAGCCCTTTTTTAATGGTAGTCGGTGTTGTGACCCGAAACTAGTTTAGGTTTATGTTTATGTTTAGGTTTAGGTTTAGTTTTCTGCTTAGTGTAAGTTCATTTTCCGAAACGTTTCGGAACACTGATGGTAGTATAAAATTTCGTTAGATTTTTTGGTATCAGCTGGAATTTTTTGGTTAAATTTTGGTTAGATTTTTATGATTGTTATACTATTTGGCTTTATAGACCGAGCTAGCTCATTTCATAGATATTCATTACATTCATATCTACTCTCTTTGTTAGCCTTTTTTTAATAGAAAGCTGAGTAGTATAAAATTTCGTTAGATTTTTTTGGTTAGATTTTTAGATTGCATAGCCTTTTAATCTTTGGAGGCAATAAAAACGGCTAAAAGATAGTTAGATATTTAAGAAATCTATAGCCTCTACAGGCGTTTTCTGATATGTAAATAAAAAATCGAACCAAAATGAGTCAAAAATGTCGTCTAAAACTTAAAATTCGCCACTTTCAAGTGCGGCTAAAAATTCGAAATAAAAAACTGTTAGCTCTTTGGCCTTCCAGATGGAGATAGACACACAAATGCCGTCGTGGGCAAATGCTTCATTGGAGTTTATTAAGACTTAATCTAATTTATCACGTAGTCAAGGTAGTGGCTGATGCACTTTCTTGTCTACCTCATTTTTTGATGCCAATAATTGTGAAGAGAGGCTCATAATGGCTTGATTGGCCTTTGTCCAAATTATTTCAAATTTGATAGAAATTAATTACTGACTAAATAGTTTAGTCAGTTTAGCCAAGTGCTCATTTGAAAACTTAATAAACATAGAATTTGCAAATACAAAGACACACACCTTGCCAAATTAGCAAAGGGAAAAACAAATCTTAAGAAAAAGGGCTTAATCTCAGCGGGTCGCAACACAAGGGTCACTCACTGCTTACAATACCCCGTTCTATATTTAAGTCGTCTGCAAAGGATTTATCTTCCTTAATATTTAAAATTACAATTCAAAGGCACACCCATGACCTTTCCGTCATAAGGTTTGAACCTCAACAATATGTTATAGGACTCCGAAAAGTCTATTTTTAATCGCCTAAACAATAAGGAAGGTAATAATCGTCACTTCTAGCATGGGTTCTGGCTTAGATTCGTTCAGCCATTATCCAACGGATGATAGCCTTGCACCACTATTCTTTCAAATAAGTGCAATCACCAAATATCCGAATCAACAGTTCCTCTCGTACTAAGTTGAATTACTATTGCGACAACAATTTCATCAGTAGGTTAAAACTGACCTGGTCTCACGACGGTCTGAACTCAGTTCATGTTCCCTATTAGTGGGTGAACAATCCAACGCTTACTGAATTCTACTTCAGTATGATAGGAAGAACTGACTTTAAATGATCACAAAGGCAACGTCGCTAACAACACAAACGCTTGGCTGCCACAAGCCAATTTCCCTGTCGCAACTCTTTTGGTACCCCTAGTCTCAAACATCGAGGATCTAAAGGGTCCACGGAATATACATCCACACCATTCGTTAGGGGAGGCTTGTACCTCTTTAAGCCGTCCACCTATTCTTAAAAAAAAAATGATGTAATCCCAGCAAACTCCCCACCTGACTAATTTTAAGAGAAAGAAGCGATAAAGGTAGTGGTATTTCACTATTGTGCCGGAACACTCCCACTTATTCTACATCCTCAATGCTTCCTCCCCCAGGTCAAACTGGAGTCAAGTTCAACAGGGTCTTTTTCTCCCGCTGATTTTGCCAAGCCCATTCCCTTGGCTGTGGTTTCGCTAGATAGTAGATAGGGACAGTCGATCATTATAAATTATCCGTACCAGTTCTAATTGCTAAACACATTGTTGCTAATATGCCAGCACTTAGAGCCAAATCTTTTTCCCGAAGTTACGGAGTAAAACTGAGTTCCCTTATCTACTTTGTTCTACCAACTAGAGGCTTTCACCTTGGAGACCTGCTGCGGTTATCAGTACGACTAGGCGTGAGAATAAATCTTTCCCTTGGTTTTTCAAGGATCATTGAGAACGCACCGGACTCGACCATAAGCGTCAAGCTCTTCCAGTAATGGCACCCTATCTTCGATTAATTCGATTCCAGGGTGACATCATAACTGTTAAAAAGAAAAGATAACTCTTCCCAGGGCTCTCACTGATGTCACCAAGTTCACTTGACGTTACCGTATTAATTATCCACGTCCTAGTGCAGGAATATTAACCTGCTTCCCTTTCGATAGGCTGGCGATGAATCGCCTTTTTAAAACGGAATTACCATATCTTAGGATCGACTAACCCATGTCCAACTGCTGTTCACATGGAACCTTTCTCCACTTCAGTCTTCAAAGTTCTCATTTGAATATTTGCTACTACCACCAAGATCTGCACTAAAGGTTGTTCGACCCGAAATCACTTTCAGGGCTTCTTAACAAACCTTCACGCCTGCCTACTCGTTAGAGCTTCACTATAACCCTAACGGTGAGGTATGGGTATCACACTTGAGCGCCATCCATTTTCAGGGCTAGTTCATTCGGCAGGTGAGTTATTACACACTCCTTAGCGGGTTCCGACTTCTATGGCCACCGTCCTGCTGTCTATATGAACTAACACCTTTTTGATATCTAAATGAGCGTGAATTTTGGCACCTTAACCTCACGTTCGGTTCATCCCGCATCACCAATTTTGTTTACCAAAAATGGCTCACTAGAAACTCTTGTATCAATTACATTAACAAGTTTCTGCTATCCTGTGGGAATCTTCGGCAGGAACCAGCTATTAGATGGTTCGATTAGTCTTTCACCTCTATACCCAATTTCGGCGAACATTTGCACACCGGACTACTACAAGTTTCCACTAGAGTTCTTCCTCTAGCTTCACTCCATTCAGGCATAGTTACCATCTTTCGGGTCCTAACAGATATGCTCTTAAATGGTCGATAGCCATTCTCCCCCCGGATTTACTACCCTTATAAAAAAATATAGATATTTAAAGTTGTCCAGAGTTGTCCAGTGCTGTCCAGAGTTGTTCGGAGTTGTTGAGAGTTGGAACAGCAAATTTATTGCTCTTAAGAGAGAGAGATATATAAAAAAAAATAGGGATACGGGGGAATAGGTGGGAACAATCGCCATTGTTGGACGCGTTTGAGTTTCTACACTCTAACACTCGCATATATGTTAGACTCCTTGGTCCGTGTTTCAAGACGGGTCGTTTAAAGCCATTTCGTTAACATCCTTAACGAATTTGCACCACCTGACTAACCACCCCTATAATTAGCGGAACGCACCATATATATGATAACTAAAGAGGGGCGATCAGACCAGTTTGAGCAGCCCTAAAGGTATTCGTTGCAAACCTCAATCCCGACCACCATATTCCGCTTAAAGTTTATCACACTCCCAAGGAGCCCGATCCCTTTAGCCTTTTTATGACAGTCAAAATTGATGTTAACCAGCCGATACAAAAATGCACCCCACACAAGTAATTGAATGTCGACTATGGCGGTTTTTAGGCTCGCCAATGCGCTAATTGCCTTGATGCGTAAGCTGATTTTGTACCGGTTCCACTAACTTCAAACGTTTCCCTTTCAACAATTTCACGTACTTTTTAACTCTCTTTTCAAAGTTCTTTTCATCTTTCCCTCACGGTACTTGTTCGCTATCGGTCTCTCGCCAATATTTAGCCTTAGGTGATATTTACCACCCATTTGGAGTTGCAATACCAAACAACTCGACTCTTTGAAAGCGTATCGTAGATGGTATCGTAAATGAACGCATGCCGGCACAAACGGGATTGTCACCCTCTATGATGTCCTATTCCAAGGAACTTGTTACCAGACATACGCCCAACCAAGAAAACGCTTCTTCAAACTACAATTCAACCTTGTAAACAAGGCTGATTTAAAATTTGAGCTCTTCCCTCTTCACTAGCCGTTACTAGGGGAATCCTTGTTAGTTTCTTTTCCTCCGCTTATTATATTTAAGTTCAGCGGGTATTCTTGCCTGATTTGAGATCAATTGTTTTTTTCTCTACGATGATACTTACTACTCACTTTAAGGCATAAATAAATCTATATTATTTAATAACCCAATTCCACATTCAAATCCAATCGATGATTGGGCATTCATTGCAATCATTTGAATATGATAATATTTTCTGACACTCAAACAGGCATACTCTCATATTACCAGAGAGTGCATTTTGCGTTCAAAAATTCAATGATTCACGTTTTGCAATTTACATGACTTATCGCAATTTGCTACGTTCTTCATCGATGCGAGAGCCAAGAGATCCGTTGTTGAAAGTTATTATTATTTATATATATATATACAAGATATATATTTTTTTTATAAATGTTTTATAAAGAGTGGTAGGTTTTGAATACACATTTTATTTTATATATATATTAATAAAAATATATATTATTTTAAAATGATCCTTCCGCAGGTTGACCTACAGAAACCTTATCATGACTTTTTACTGTCGAAAATGCATAGCTTGATTCAACTTCTTAGCCAAGGTCCGCAAATATATAAATAAGCAACCGCCCATCCGATGACCTCGCTACGCATACAATTCCGATAGCAACGACGGGCGGTATGTACAAAGAGCAGGGACATAATCAACGCAAGTTGATGTCTTGCGCTTACTAGGGATTCCTCGTTGAAGAGCATTTAATTTCAATGCTCTATCCCCACCACGATAAAGTTTCAAAAGATTGCCCATACCTTTCGGTAAAGGTTAGTAGTTACTTGTTGACTTTATCAGTGTAGCTTGCATGCGGCCCAGACCACTAAGGATGTCATAGACCTGTTATTACATCGAACTTCCATCGGCCAAAAACCGATAGTCCCTCTAAGAAGCTCTCAAACCTGATAAAAAACCAGACTTAATAACTTACTATTTAGAGGTAAGACGTTAAGAACGGCCATGCACCACTAGACATAGAATCCTGACCTTTCTCCTATGTCAATCATGACTATGGCTGGATCTGGAAGTTGCAAGCAGGCTCCACCCCTGGTGGTACTCTTCCGTCAATTCCCTTAAGTTTCAGCCTTGCGACCGTACTCTCCCCGGAACCCAAACACTTTTAGTTTCCCGTAAGGTACCAAACAAGTCGTTAAAAAATGAACTTTGTCTGATTCCTAGTCGGCATAGTTTATGGTTAAGACTACGACGTACATAAATCGTCTTCGATCCCCTAACTTTCGTTCTTGATTAATGAAAACATCCTTGGCAAATGCTTTCGCAGTAGTTAGTCCTCAATAAATCCAAGAATTTCACCTCTGACTATTGAATACTAATGCCCCCAACTATCCCTATTAATCATTACGTGGTCCTAAAACCAACAAAATAGAACCATCGTCCTATTTTATTATTCCATGCTAATGTATTCAAGCAAAAATGCCCGCTTTAAACACTATAATTTTTTCAAAGTAAAAGTCCTAGTTCATTGAAACACCCAAGAGCATCCCAATTCACCAGAAGGTGAGAAATTGGTTACACACCGATTCATGTCCCTAAAGGCATGACCGATATATCCCAATCCCGAAATTCAACTACGAACTTTTTAACCGCAACAACACTAATATACGCTATTGGAGCTGGAATTACCGCGGTTGCTAATACCAGACTTGCCCTCCAATTGTTCCTCGTTAAAGGTTTTAAATTGTACTCATTCCAATTTCGAGACCCAAAAGAGCCCTTAATTGTTATTTATTGTCACTACCTTCCCGAATCGGGATTGGGTAATTTGCGCGCCTGCTGCCTTCCTTGGATGTGGTAGCCGTTTCTCAGGCTCCCTCTCCGGAATCGAACCCTAATTCCCCGTTACCCGTTACCACCATGGTAGGCCTCTATCCTACCATCGAAAGTTGATAGGGCAGAAATTTGAATGATTCATCGTCGGCACGAGGCCATACGATTCGAAAAGTTATCATGAATCACCAAGGTTTAGTTGGTTGCCCAACTGTTGGTTTTTTATCTAATAAATACATCCCTTCCAGAAGTCGGGATTTTTAGCATGTATTAGCTCTAGAATTACCACGGTTATCCAAGTAGTAATAATGTACTATCAAATAAACTATAACTGATTTACTGAGCCGTTCGCAGTTTCACCTGTATATAAGATTTATACTTAGACTTGCATGGCTTAATCTTTGAGACAAGCGTATGACTACTGGCAGGATCAACCAGGTAACTATCTTGCTATTTTAAACGACAAAGTCTCTACTCTCCTGAAAGAGAGAAAAAGAAGCCTCATCATAAAAAAAACTAAATGTGGTCCGGTTCACAAAATCGTGATCCGAGTCCACAAATAGCGTTGTATAGTTGTTATTGGGTCGAGTTTAAGCAACAATGCTTTAAATCATTCCTGTTGCCAATGCCTTCAAGTTTTTCTAGATTTGTTGGCTCAAAAAATTTATGATCATTTTTTTGATTCAACATATCCTTCAATGCCAATTCACTTGCGAATTATCACAATAAATAAAATTACGACATTTTCACAGTGCTCTTGGCAAATTGATGATTGTTGTTAAGTTTACCTAGCAGGTAAGTATACACAACGTTCTCCTTTCGATTAGTTATACACAATGATTACTAATCAATATATTTTATGAACACTAAAGTCGATAAAAGAAGAAGTGTTCTTAAACCCATCATTCAATATCAGACAATAGTTAATATGCCTACAATAATGTTTAAATTTCTGTGCCAAAAGGAGATGTAAAGAAGGAGGGCCAATGACTTCGTGCCGAAAGGAGAAGGACCAACAACTTTTATTCCGAAAGGAACGACTCTAATATATATTAAAAAATAAACCTAAAGTTGGTTGTAGATACCAACTTTAGGGAGAGAGAGTCAGTAATTGCCAATAACTACTGAGTAAGTAAAAGAATTCAATTTCTTGTATCTGCAAAGGAGTTTATCTGAGAAAAACGAGGATATGTACGCATCGCCCTCATGCGCCTCTTGAAGGCCACAGAGATTAAAAATCCCAGGCGATCAAGGTACGTCCCCAAAAACTCTAGTTTATCTGAGAAAAACGAGGATATGTGCGCATCGCCTCTTGAAAGCCACAGAGATTAAAAATCCCAGGCGATCAAGGTACGTCCCCAAAAACTCCAGACCCTGCATATAAAATTGGTTCGCAATCTTTTATGCCAACCGCAGGGGCAGAAGGGTAATCATGGACATCTCCATGACCAGCAACAATTATAAAACCTTCACTGGAGCTGGATATTTCGGTGAAGAAAACCTTACCTAATTTAAAAAGTTCCAATTCTGTGCTAACCAACATTCATAATGAGGAAGACCAACGACTCTTCGTGCGCAACCGACATTCATAATAAAGAGGACCGACGACTTCGTGCCGAAAAAATGATTCTATTATTAAAAAAAGAACCATATCTAAAGTTGGTAGATACCAACTTTAGAGAGAGAGACGTCAGTAATTGGCCAATAATTACTGGTAAGTAAAAGAAGTTCAATTTCTTGTATCCACAAGAGTTTTGAGAAAACGGGGATATGTGCGCATCGCCCTCATACGCCTCTTGAGAGTCCACAGAGAACAAAAATCCTGGGTGATCATTCGGGGCATCACATAATCAAGATATTTACGCTCTATATATCTCAAGGTAACTCCCCAAAAACTCCTCCGTGCAAGATGCTCTTATAATCGCCACCTTACAGGGCAGAAGGGTAATCATGGACGATGCCATGACCAGCAACAATTATAAAACCTTCTTTAAGATCACCCCGCCTTGCCTGGGGCTCTCAGGAGCTGGATATTTTGGTTAAGAAAACCTTACCTAATTTAAACAGACTCCAATTCTGCGCAACTGTCATATTCATAATGTGGGGACCGACGACTTCGTGTCAATAAAGAGAGTAACAATCATTAATTGAAATAACTCAATATTCTTGGATCCGCTAGGCCGCGTTTTTAAGAAAACAGGACATGTGCGCTCAACACCATACATGCATGCATCGCGCCTCTTGAAGGTCACATACAGAACACGAAAATCTACTAAAAGCTAATCATATCTCAGTGAACCCTCGAGGTACATCCCAAAAACAAAAGCCATATAAATAAAACCATCTTTTTTAGAACCCAGCAGCAAGTATTTATTAATATTCCCTCGAATAACCTTTTTAACCCCAAAAATTATTGGGAAAGTAAAAACAAATTTTTTTTTTCCCAATAATATACTTTAACGTTGCCATGTGATAATGATATATCTCCCTATTTGCAGAGTTTTATACCCAATAACGTTTTACCAATTTTGTCGGGATATTCATTATATATTATATATTATGTCATCATCTGATCGTCATCACATTACTATTTTTTGATTTTTTTTAATGATAGTTAAATTTTTGCATTCATGTTACACGAAACTGAAAACACCTTTTGAGGTTTGAAATGGCACTCTGGACAAAAAGCAACCTAAATTTTAATTTTTGCAGTTTTTACTATATTGATTTGTAAAAGTTTGCAATTTTTCAGCAAATACATTTATCAAAAAGTCAGAAATATTTTATTATGATCCATAATTTTTATTGTTTACAATAATTTTTGGCCATTTGACTTTGAGCCTCAAAAAGTTTGAAATGGTCATATTACAGTCAGGGTTGTTACCAAATATGGAATTTCTAAATACTGTAATTATAAACAATCAAAACAAAAATGATTGGCTAATTTTATGCCGATCTTTTCTTTGGAAAAAAAATAATTAAAAATAATGCTTTTTTGTCAAGAAAACTTGGCAAAGGCTTTATTAAATGGGCATATAACCTCCAAAATTATGTATTATGTTTATTTTTGACTGCTTTATGAGTCTATCAAAAAATAATCAATAGCTTCAAATTATAATCATAAAATTACCATAAAAACTCAATAACTTTTTCATAATGGTTAAATATACTGATGAAATGTTTGAGTTATCATTCATCAGGAATCTTGTTATTAAAATTAATAAAATTAATAAATAGTATCATGAAATATATTATAATTACAAATTAATTTGTAAAATTTTTGTATATAAATAAAGTCCATGACAAACTTTGTATATGTATGTATATATATTTACTTCTTTACCTGCTTATCATTCATTTGTTGTTTGTGAGTCAGATTTACATGGCCACAGTTAATTCTCTGGATATTTGCCACTACATCTTCAAACAAACATTTTTAAATTCTTAGCTAGTATTCACCATCATGGGTATAATTAGAATTAAAGATCTGGGCACTGTACTAAAAAAAAATATAGCAAATAATCAAAAATTCAAGCCAAACTATGGCTCATATTGAAGGAAAAAACTAATGTGTGATCCTTTTCAGATGAAGATGGAGTAATAAACTATATATTCAAGAGAATATATTAACTCTTTTTTAAATAAAATTTTCTATGTAAGATTATTGGTTTTTGGTATTCAAAAAAAAATCTTTGAATGGCCAATCAAAATTCGAAAAACAATTTCCATAAACTTACTTCATTAAGAGAATTGGTATGGTAGTTGTTTTATTTAAAATAGCCATATATTAACAAGATTTGAAGCTTTTGATCAATTTTCTGTATGTTTGGCCTGTTGTGTGATGTAATTTCAACCATTATGACTTCATGTATATTTATTTACAATATAATAAAATTAATATAATTAAAACTCATAACTAAGAAGTTATCAATGTTTTAATATTATTTTTTCTATTCTAGCAGCAAAAAAAAATCTCATTTTTTCAGAAATACATTATTTAATCATAAAGCCAAAGGAAAAAAAAAACAAATAGAAGTGATTACTATGTATGGGTATTAATAAAAGAGAGGGCTTTTTTAGAAAAAATGATGGTGATTATCAGTCCACAACTTGTCATTTCAGTTCTTTGAGCATGATTGTCATTGTATTCTCTTTGACAGGTCTTAAATTTTTTAAAAAAAAGATTATCATTATTATCCTTATTATCAGTGCCATCATCACCATCTATATCCTCTCCACTATCTTCTGGTTCAGAACTTGTTAAAAAAGCAGTTTTATTAATAGATCGATTAATGTAAGTTCAATGACATAATAAATTCATAGATCCTTCTTTTAATTATTATTAACATTATTTCTCTCACCTGAAGCTCCTCATAAACCAGATTATGTGCCAACTTGTGAGCTTCTTAAGTTATTTGGCTTGTGAATTGCTCATGAAGAGCTTTTCTTCAGGACTCAAAGATTAATTTAGAATATGACTCAGATTGCTTGAACATCATTAAATTTTTTTAATGAAGGATTTGGACACCTGTGAAATAATAATATTTCCTTAGATATCAATTGTTTCAAGTTATACTGACATCTTAATCCTGCCCAGAAATAAATTTGTTTATCTGTTGCTACATCTCCAATTTGGAGGTAGGTTTCATCACATTATAATATTATATATATACAGACTTGTATAATGTATGGAGTTGTTCACCATCAATTAAGCAATCCTGCAAATTTATATTTAGCAAATCCTATCATTCTTACATCCAGAAGCAACAATTTGCTTATCAGTGGCTCTACATGGGCAGTATATCTACTCATTGATCTAATATTTTGTGTGCTCAATATATCCCATATTTGAGTAACACCATTACTCTAACCCTATAGAAAATATATTTATTTTTGCATCAATGTAATTAGAAAATCATTTAATCTCTTCTGTGTTTGTATTCATGTTGATTTAACCCTAATATCATTCTTTACAAATACTACAATTTGCTAATTCCATGTCAAATGTTCTACACAAGCAGTATGCTCATTAATCTAATAAATTTATGTACTCAATATGTCCTGTATTTAAGTATCAGCATCACCCAATCTAGTGTTCCATGTCGCAATGCAAAAAAGGAAACCAAAGTGGTCGCAAAGGTGGTTGAAACCAGGTGTTGCAAACCATTTTATATGTCGCAAATATGGTTGCAACCATCACCAAGAATTGCAACCAGCATCTATAACCCGATCCAATAGTTAACTGATCTCCAAGGAAGTTTTCAATTTTTATTTATACTATTATCAGTATTATTATAAAGTCATCCATCTAGACTTCACATCAGAAATTAACATCTTGATCCGATCTTAATATCAATCTTCCACATAAGCAACAATTGCTTGTTCTATGTCAATTCATTGATCCAATCTCATTTATGCACTCAATATGTCTCATATTTGAGTATTGCCATTACTCCAATGAAGACTGGAAATATATTTTCTATTTTTATTTCTACCATCTATTATTATTATTAGAAAGCCATCTATCTAGCCATGCACTCCAGAAATTAACATCTTGATCCGACCTTAATATCATTTTTCCAAATAATACATTCTTACATCCAGAAGCAAAAATTTGCTTGTTCCATGTCAAAGATTCTACACAAGCAAAATGTCTACTTGTTGATCCAATCTTTTGTCACTCAATATATCCCATATTTAAGTATCGCCATCACTCAATCCAACAGTTAACTGATCTCCAAGGAAGACTGAAAGTCATCTAATCTCTCCTGTGTTTTTGCAATTTGCTCATTCTATGCCAAAGATTCCACATGTTAATATGTCTACTCATTGATCTAATATTTTATGGCACTCAATATATCCCATATTTAGTATTGCTATTATTCAATCCAACAGTTAATTGATCTCCAAAAAAGACTGAAAATAAATTTTCAGTTTTTATTTTTATTATCAATAATATTATTAGAAATTCATCTGTCTAGCCTTTATACTCCAGAAATTAACATCTTGATCTGATCCTAATATCATTCTTCCAAATACTACATTCTTACATCCAGAGGCAATAATTTTCTCATCAAAGGCTCTACAAGGGCAGTATGTCTACTAGTTGATCAATCTTTTATGCACCCAATATTTGAGTATTGCCATCACTCAATCCAACAGTTAACTTATATTTTTTTTTTTGCTTTTCAATGCTCATCCCTTTTCTAATTCAAATTTGGCATTTATGTTAAATACCATGTAACAAGCATTTAATCAAAATTATCAACAATATAATAAACAAGAAGTAATATAAATTCTACGGTAATACAGAAAACATGTAATGTATGAACCTCTATGTATGTAACGTATGAATTTATTTCCATACATGTATGAAAAATGCAGATCATACATACATACATTTTTATTAAATTAACTAGCAAACGTCACCCAATTATTATTATATATATACCATATTAATGTTAAGT